TCATTTCAATTTTTTTTTTAAATATTTAACATATCAAACCTGTTGTTGAATATATTGAGCTGGTAACACTACAATATTTCCTACATTTGAATTAGTTGAAAGAACTGCTTGTCCAGATGCTAATTGACTTAAAGCAGATGCCGGAATAGCAACTGCATTTTTAGATTGATTACCTACTGTTGCAGTTGCCGGAATTAATAATCTTTGACCACTTCCTGTTAATGTTGCCTTAGGTGCAACTGTTCTTAATGATTGATTACTAGTATTTAATGGAACTACCTGTTTTGTTTGAAGAAACATTATAAATATAAATCTATTATTGTTTATGATTATACATTCTATTTTTACGAACCTTAACAATTTGTTGTTGACCTCCTATTTTTTGACCAACTCCAACTGTTTGTAAAGTTGTTTGTGATTTTGTTTTACCTACAGTAACAACATTCGTAGTTCCTGATGATGGAGTACTAACTAATCTTACATATTGCACCTTAAAAAAAATTGTTTGTATAAAAATTTATTATAATATTAAATATTATAATTTATTAAGAAAAATATTACTTGTCTTCCAGGCATCTGTATCTGATGTACTTGATTAGATCCAGTTACAATATTTTGATTAGCAGGTATTCTAATAACTTGTCCACTTCCAAGAACAGTTCCAGGTTTTAAAGAACTCTATATAAATATATTATCTTATTAATATAAATATAATAAAAATATTAAAATTATGTCATACTTTATGAAATATATAAATCTTAAATGTGGATCAACAAACCTGTCTTATAATCACTTTTTGAGGGCTTTGTTGTACAGATGATTTATTAGAAGAAGAAAATGATTGTTGATTTGAAATTGTTGAAGATTTAATTTGTGTATTCACTGTAGGAGCTGGTAATATTTTTGTAGGTGATTTTATTGTATTACTTGGAACTATAGTCATTTTAGAAGGTTGAGAACTTGACGATTGCACTAATTTATTTACAATTATTCCCTTTAACAAAAACAAAAATATATTAATTATTTCAAATAAATCATTCTATTAAATATTTATTAATTGGAAGAAGTTTTTTATCCTTCTTTTCCATAATAAGGAAGCAATACTTACTTTTTTTTTAATACTCACTTGTTTCTGTGGTGAAGAGGGTAAAATATGTGGGACTTTATTAGTAGAAAGTAATCCCATTTGTTGTGCTTGTGCTAATGTTATAGTTTTTGTTGGACTTGTAACATCTTGACTTGATGCACTATTATTTAAAAATTTTATTGCTTGTGTTTGTTGGTTTTCATTCTGAGAACTAGTTATAAGAACTTGGCCTGATTGAGCTTGATTTCCAGTTAATATCATTTTTGTGTACACCTAAAATGAAGATAAAAAAATCTTATTAAATATTTTGAAATATAATAAAAGTAATAAATATAATATCATTAACAATCTTACATTTCGATTTTGAGAAGTATTCTGTGCAGTTCGTTTTATAGCTGATTGAGCTGTTTTTACATTTTGAACATTACCTAATGTGATATTTCCTGAATGACTAGTTGCCATTACCGGTTTACTAGGTTGTGCAGATCTTAACTGAACTATATTACCATCAGCAGATTTTGCTGTTATGAGAGTCTGAGCTAATGATTGTAATTGACCATGTGATGCTGTTGATGGATGTGAAATTTTTAAAATTTGGCTAGTACCTTGACCACCGGCAGGAGACACTATCATAATAGACTGACTTTGTGTTACTTGACCAGCATTTGATTTTACCTATTAAAAAAAATTAATAAATAAGATTAAAAATATCAAGATATATAATTATCATATTTTATACCTGTACTGTGGATGCAGGAAGCCTTTGTAATGTTGGTTTTGTTTGAAATACAATATTTTGATTATTTTGATTTGCTGTTGTATAAATAATATGTTCTTCTTGAGCTTGCCCAGAAACTTCAGTCATTTCCACATCAGGTACAATGGTTTCAGTCTGAATATTACGTTCAATTATTATATGCTCTTCATCTGTTGTCATAACTTCTTCAGCATTCATACATTCTAATTCAGCCTGAATATTTGCAAATGCTTCAAAGTCATTTGATGAATATTGTTCATTATTATGCGATAAACTTAGTGCACTTAAATCTCCATCACCAAGAGTACGTGAATCAAGAGCTAATGGTTCAACCAATGCTCTAGCATTTTGCCCTTTATTTACAGACATGATTATGTCCCTATTCAAAATATTATTTATTATAAAAGCTTATATATTATTCAAAATCTAAATATATACCATTTAATTCTTAATATCTATTAATATGTCTTTTAAAATTGATATGTACAATAAGTTAAATAATATAAATTTATAATACAATTAAAATAAAATAATTGCCAATTTTGTTTAAATATTTAATTATATTTTTGACTATGTAAACTTTCCTTCAAATAATTATAAATAATTATATAAGCATATAATGCATCTTTTTGTAAAAGGAATAGTTTCTAAAAATAATTATTTTTCTAAAAATTTGATATATATAAATAAAACTTAGAAATTAATTACATAATTAAGTACGAAAACAAATGCGATACAAAAATTGATGAACTTATATAAACATTCTAAAATAAAATTTTAAATTTTAAACTGTTTTAGCAATATTTAATATCTTGTATTATATATGCTCATTATATATATTCATTATATGTCAAAAAAAACTTTATAAATATTAAAAAGGTTTTCCAGATGTCTATATCTTTCATCATAAACATATATTTCATGCATTCACAGGTTAGAAATTCATAGAATGTAAATCGTTTTTCTATAAAACTTCACATGTTCTTACGCACTAAAAAGAAAAAAATATCATAAATCAACAGGAAAATATAAAACGATCTATGAAATGAGTTAAAAACGAAATGAATCTGCGAAAATTTAAAAATTCAAATATTCAAATTCTTAGGAAGTATATGTATGATTTTTAAATCCAAAGAGCAATAGGATTATCTACCAACACATTTAACAATATAATAACAGAGTATAATTCGAATTTTTGAAAATTCGAACAATAAAATTTGAATAATGAGGAAAAATTCGAAGGATAGTCTACTTAGGAACATTAGCGCCATTTATTACTTGAACGCGCCATTTTCCGCGAACTGAATTTCTGCATGCATTTTAACAGTTTTAACATTTTCATAATAAATCGACATTAATGTATGAAGAAAAACTAAACTCTTAATATTTTAAATAGTAATAAAAAATAAATTTTTTCCAAATATTCACCTTACAATCTCACAAAATTCAACTTAACCTATAACTTATCAGTTCATATCAGGTACATACAGTGCTGGGTGGGGGCGTGCCACGAAGCTTATTTTAATTGTAAGAAATTATTCAAAAAAGTTTCTCATATGTTTTTGAATTATTTAAATTTTATTTAAAATGTTTTCTAAGCAAATTAATTTGTTTTATAATACATACCTGGGTGTTCCCTCAATATCTCGAATTTGTTCAAAATCACGCGCCCACCATTGCTGTCCCACAGTGCACTACGCACCGCTGTGTACAAACAGACCTAAAGGTCGTTTAGTATTAAAATTTCAAAGTGAAATGAGAATGACAAGTTCACTGTTACTATAAAGTTAATTTTTTTTTACATGTAATTCATCAAACGTGAATGTTTTATTTTATCAATTAGATATTACATCAAAATCAAGCAATATTTTCGCGCACTTTGCAAATTTCGATTTCGCCATTTTCACCCTTCCGCGGCTAAAAACACGTCAGCCCTTCAGCGCCCTCTTAGGCCAATAAAAAACCAAGTGTTCCAAAAACTTGAATATTTTGAATGCAAAATATTTTATAAAAAGTTATATATTGTTATAACTATAATGTTTATTAAAAATTTTATTTCTAAAATGAAAAAAATGAAATTTTATTTTCTATTTATACGTATAGTGACACAATTATTGGTTTAATATCAAATGAATTCTATAATTTAAAAATATATATAATTAGAAAAATATCAATTAATGCCTTTTTAATGAAATAATTGTATTAGAATTAATTCTTCATAACAAAGAATATATTGATATAAATATCAATTAATAACGTAAGTTATTTTTACGTAATCAGAAGACAAAGATAATAAAGGAAAACAATTAGATAAATATATAAATTTATTTTTTTTCTTTACACAAATAATTTAAATTTTGAAATTTATACATTCTTTTATTAACAAAAAATAATTATAAGAATTCATAAACTATAAATTTAAATATTTAATAAAATATTTTTTTAATTAATTTTGACGGCTAAAATATGATGGAATCATAATAAGGAATATAATATAATTAAATATATAATAATGTAAATTAATATTTAAAATATAATTAATATATAATTATAATGTAAATTAATATATAAATTAATTTAATGTAAATTAAATTAATATAATATAATATAAATAAAAAAGTATATTATTTTTATTTAATTATGATATTGATGATCTATTTTTAATTATTTATAAGATAAAATATAGGTAGATCGAATTAAATATTTTATTAAATCTTTATGGAACACAAATTATTAAATCAGATTTATAAGTGAATTCACATAATTGATTGTATTGTACTTAATCATAAATTATTTATATAAAGTGTGTAATAACATATTAATAATGATATTATATAAAGCGCCATCTCATATTATATTATATTTTTATACAATTATTTAATATTTATAATTTTATATTATATAATAAACAATATAAAATACAACACATAATGCATTCTACAAGAATAAATAATTTAATTATTATTATTATATGATTTATTTTTATAAAAATACAAATATATATATGTATATATATATTTTAAAATGATATAAATAAATATAAAATCTTTACTATTATTATAAAAATTTGTTTTTTTTTCTATTATTATGATATTCAGTAAAATTTATTTATTTATTATGATATTTTTTCAACATTACTATTCTTTTTACTAATAATTAATTTTTGTAGTTCATGCACATTCTCAGCGCAAAAGTCATTTTTGGTTATTCGTGCAGAAAAGATGGTGGTGACGGCAGCTTCTGTACGTCAACAACTCGCAAATTTAGCTTATTGCGGAGGTTCTCATAAAGATCAAGCAGAAAAGTAAGTTTATAAAATAGAATGTAAAATATATTTTTAAAACATTTCGTATAAATAGTGATAATTACAGGTATCGAGCGATATTGGATTCAATACTGTTGTCATCCAGCGAAGAAGCGATGGATGCTTTAAAGATATTTATTGAAGCAAGTACGTTACTTTTTTCTTAAAAGATTTTTGTTAATATATATATATATATATATATGTATATGTGTGTGTGTGTATGTATTATTTATATATACATATATGTACATATATATATCAGTATTTATTAGGTGATAGTAATTATTTATTATAAATTTGTTGTACACATAAAATATGTGTTCATATTTGTTCTGTATACAATTTATTAGACTAAATATGATAACTTCACGTTTGTTTACATAATTATATTTTTAAAAATGACTTAAATATTTATATTATTTTTATAATTTGTAGTAAAATTTTATATTTAAAATTTAATTTTATATTTATATATATATTATTTATATATTTATATTTAAATATAATAAAAATAATATAATAAAATTTTATATTTAAATATATATTTAATTTTATTTTTAATGTTTTTTAAATAATATAACAATTGTTTTTTATTTTATAGTTGTAAATGAATATGTAAGTTTGGTCATTTCAAGACAAGTTTTAACAGATGTTAGTAATCGATTATTACTTTTACCTGATGAAGTGTCAATGGCTATTTCACATTATACATTAGATAAGGTAAATATTTTTATTGATTTGTTATTAAATATATTTAATTTATAATAATTATAATATAAACTTTAAGTTCATTTATTAATTTTTCAGATACAACCAAGAGTTATTTCATTTGAAGAACAAGTTGCTAGTATAAGACAACATTTAGCAAAAATTTATGAACGTAATCAAAATTGGAGAGAAGCAGCTAATGTTTTAGTTGGAATACCACTAGAAACAGGACAAAAGTAAATATAAAAATTGTTATTTCATTATATTAAATTAATCAAAATTCCTAATTAATCAATATAATTAATATTTAATATTTATCTATAGGCAATATACAGTTGATTACAAACTTGAAACTTATCTTAAAATTGCAAGATTGTATTTAGAAGATGATGATCCAGTCCAAGCTGAAGCATTTATTAACAGGGCATCTCTTTTACAAGTATATAAGAATTTGAATAATTATATATTATATTGAACAACTAAGTATTAAATTTATATATTATATCTTTTTTTATATGTTTTTTATATTATAATTCTTTTAGGCTGAATCAAAAAATGAACAGTTACAAATTTACTATAAAGTTTGTTATGCCAGAGTATTAGATTATAGAAGAAAATTTATAGAAGCTGCTCAAAGATATAATGAATTATCATATCGATCTATTATACATGAAGATGAACGTATGACTGCACTTAGAAATGCATTAATTTGTACAGTATTAGCTTCTGCAGGTAAGTCTTTTATATCTTTTATATAACGAAAAATATATAAATATATATTTTAAATATATAAGAATATATAAAGAATATATAATTATAATATTAATATTAATATTAGGTCAACAAAGAAGTCGAATGTTAGCTACATTATTTAAAGATGAACGGTGTCAGCAACTTCCTGCTTATTCAATTCTTGAAAAAATGTATCTCGATCGTATTATTCGACGTTCCGAATTACAAGAATTCGAAGCCTTATTACAACCACATCAGAAAGCAAGTACGATCGATGGATTAGGGTCAACTATTCTTGATCGTGCTGTTATAGAACATAACTTATTATCTGCTAGTAAATTATATAATAATATAACTTTTGAAGAATTGGGTGCTTTATTGGAAATTCCACCAACGAAAGCAGAAAAAATTGCTAGCCAAATGATCACAGAAGGTCGAATGAATGGTTATATCGATCAAATCGATTCTATTGTACATTTTGAAAGTAAGTTTAAAGCAATAAAATTGGTTATTAAATTTTATATATTTAGTACAAATATTATTTATTAATAATTTATTTTTGAATAGCACGCGAAACTTTACCAACGTGGGATAAACAAATACAATCTCTTTGCTATCAAGTAAATCAAATAATAGAAAAAATTGCTCAAACTGAACCTGAATGGATAGCAAAAGCCATGGAAGATCAGATGGTACATTAATATAAATTTTTTTTTTAATATTAACAATATACAAAACCGAAACAGAAATATCAGATAATATTTGATACATACACAATTAAAAATATATTTGAAGGCAATAAAGATTGTTACTATAACTCTACAGTGATGCTTATGCATTACAAATGAATCATTAATTTTATTATGTTAATATGCATGAAATCAATTTTTATATGATCAATGAATAAATTTTAATTTTTCATAATATAAACAAAAAATTAGATTTCATCATTATAGTTACTTTATTATTTATAAAACTCAAAAATAAAATAAATATAAAATATAGAAAAAAATTTTTATTGATAAAAAACACACTTAAAATCATTTGTTTAACATTACCTACAATTGTTATAAACTTCACGCAAAGCATATTCCAATTAAAGGAATATTGTAATTATCTCATGTAAATAAAGCATTCACACTGCATATAAAATAAAATTTTCTTATTTTATGAATTAATTGAAATTTAATTCAGATTTGATTGAATACTTAACAACTGTTGTATAGAAGAATAAAATTGTATGAGTACAAACCTCTTATGCATTACAAGTTTGCTACATAAAAAAAGACTGGAATTATTTATAATTAAAAAAAGTATCTATCTTAATATATTATCTTAAAAATGTGAAATCTTTATATAAGATGTCAGACTTTAAATTATTGGAATCTTCATACTGAACATATATTTCACAATAGGTTTCAACCCTAAAATAGCTACTCCGGCAGTATTATTTTATATTGATTACAGAGGCAGAAATGAATCATTTTGAAAAAAAGTAATTGTATTTTATATTTGACATTATTTAATTTCAAGTCCCTGTATGTAATTATTTATTTAATATAATATTAAGTGCAAGTATTTTTACAATAAATTTGATTATTAAAACTATTCGTGTAGCTACCAAATGTATCATGTGCAGCAAATTGTGTATTTTTATTTAAAAAATTGAATTTATAATTATTTTGAAATTTAATAACATTTATTATTAAATTTAAAAATATATTTCCAATAAAATTTAAAGATATTATCTTCCTAACTTAATTTTATCCGTATTTGTAATTAATATTATTTATATGTATTTATATTTTTCATAATTAAATTCAAATTAATTAATATTTGATTTTATAAGACTGTATATTTAACAGGAACTGGTAACAGGCTGCACCAATCGAATATTATAAGAGAATTATACGCAAAAAATAATACACTTCTATTTCATTTAAGAATTTATAAATCGTATTGTTCATGATAAGATATTGTTACCATACCGTGTTTCATACATATTATATGTGGCATCTATTTTGGGATAAACCTATTTATGTTATAGGCAATACTTTATCTGAAGCATGTACTGTGATACTGTTTTATGACACAAAGATCATAAAATGATCCTTAAAATGAATCAAGTCCTTTCGTGTCTGTAATCATATTTAAGCTTGAAGATCTAATGCCAGACCAATTTTATGTCCACCAGATCCAAAATTCTTTCCATCAATATTTGTAGAAAGTGTCAAAGTTACACCTGAATATTAAATTTAATATTTATTTATAAAGTAATTAAAAAAAAACAAATAAGATATATTTTGTAAATAATTTAAACATTGTTTTACCATCACGTAATTTTTGCTGATATCCCAAACCAACTTGAAGATTAGAATTAACTTTAGCTCTAATAGATGCATCATTATCAAGATTATATTTTGTAGCAATTCCAAATTGTGTTACATTATTACTTGAATTCCACTCTAAATTAATTGCACCTTCTAATTCTGGTTTTACTTTATGATAAATGAGGCCACTAAAGTCACAGCCATTATTCCTAAATAAATCAAAATAAAATATTAAAAAATTATATTTAATTAATATATTTAAATTATTTTCTTTACAAATATTTAATGATTATACATACACTGCTGCATGAAGGGTAAAATCTGAAGCAGTATATCCAAGTGCAAAATTGTTCTTTGTAAGTTTGTTTCTTTGCGTATCAAAACAGGCCTGATAACCAGCTAGCCAACCTACAATTTAATCATAGCATTTTATAATGCAACATGTTTCATTCATTCTATTTTATTATATCACAATCTTACATCATTTTTTTCTGGAATAACAGGATACTGGGAATAAGAAAAGGAAAGATTTAAATGAATTATAAGAAATCACATGGGAACAATGACATCAAAAATATCAAATATCAACTTCTGTACTAAAAATAACAAATAATATATTACATACTATGCTAAAAATAATTTAAGTTTATATTATAAATAAAAGATATATATTCTTACCTTGATATCCTACAACAGTTGATGCATTTACCAAAGGACCAGTAGAAAGACTAAGATCAAAATCAGCAGCTGCAGACACATTATCATGTTTGTAAGCTGTCTTTAATTTTCCAGTTTTTGTCCTATAAAATAATTAGATGTTTCTTTGAAATAATAATAAAAATATAATTTATTTTAAAAAAATCTGAAGTATATTAATAAATAATTATAAAATATCGATAAGATTAAAAAATATACTTATTTTACCCAGTTTGTGGAGAAAAAGTACAGCCATAACCAAGAGTAAGACCTTTGAGCAATTTATCAGCAAAAGTAATATCAGTAGCAAGGGTATTATCAGTATTCCATTTTTCACTAAATTTTAATCCATAATCGTCAATATTGTATTTAGTTTCTAAAGAACCAAATACTTTTCCAGTATCTTGATTAGATACTCCACCACTAGAAAATTCTACACCTGATTTTGTTTTTGTTTTTACATCTAATTTAATTAGACCAAAATGATATCCACTGGAAAATAAATCTCGAGCACTTTTTCCTAAATCATTATACGATGGTGGGGCCATGATCTATATAAAAGATTAAACAATTATATAAAATTATTAATTATTTTTATAACAATAATTTACATTATATAATATATATGTATATATTAAATTTATATAATATATGTATATTAAATATAAATATTTATTTTATTTCATTACAAATAATGAATATATTTTCATATATGACATCTACAAATGAATTTTAATTATAATTTTTAAAAAATATATTTTTAAATTATAGTTAAATATATAAAATATTAAAGATTAACAGATTTTTAATATAATATTATCACTAATTTATAAAATTATTGATATTATAATCATAATTAAACCATTGATTAAATATATTATAAATATTATTTATAATATATTTTTTAAATAATAAAATATATGAAAAATACGATTTAATTGATCAAATGTTTTTAATAATAATAGTTTTTAGATAATATAATATTTGTTGAAAATATTATTCAATGCATATTTCGTAATATTTAATATATACATATAATAAAAAAAATAAAAATTAAATTATTTAATTGATTTTTAAAAGATATATTAAAATAATAAATTATCGAATTGATAATAAAGTTATTGAAAAAAGTAAAAAAATATACTGAGTAACAATACATTATTAATTTAACAATAATATAGAGCAAAAATGGAGTGATATTGACTTGTCTTGGTATTACATAAGGCGTAAATCAGTGATTTCTAATTCTCATAAATAACTTGAATTTCATATTATTATGCATGAAAATATGTTTGTTACAAAAAATTAAAAATTATTGTTGATATCATAAAAATATAAAGTATTTAAATAATATTATGAATTTATAAAATTAATAAAAACGATCTCTTAAAACACTGCCAGACGACAATCGACATTATCAGCAACTCATGCCGGCTCATGAAAAATTTTTTGTAAATTATGTATTTTGAATGTAAGAATAAAAAATCTAATTTAAAACTAACGTGTATGAATGATGTGATTCATTAATACTTACTGATGTTTTATGTTATAAGACACAAGTGCAAAAAACTGCGTGACTTGGTTTCGAAGTTGCGTACGTGAGACGATATGCGAACTAGGAGAGAAAGATGGAACCTGCGCGCAACTGAGCTTACGCCTGCGCAAAATAATTTATAAACAAATTAGAGTCTATTTTTATATAAAAATATTGATAAAATATATATATAAAATTTTTTTTATATAAAAAATATTATTAAAGGATATATCTTTCATCAAATAAAACACATTCTGTTATTTAATTTTTATGTTGATTTACTTTCTAGATATTACGTAATCTTAAAGATCACCCTCATAAACATGGATTTCATACATATCCTGATCATCTGGTACCACGTATTGAACGCTAGATAAAAGATAAGAATATATCAAGAAAAAAGTATTTATCTTTTTAAAAGTTATCTATAATTAAATACATATTTAATTTATATGATTATCAAGTATTAATAAATCATTAAGTAGAATTAGAATTATTTCTTTGTTATTAAAATTTATATATAAATTTCTTTATATATAATAAGTAGAATTAAAAGAACAAGTTGCTATTGAAATCTTTATATTAAATATTAATTTCATATATATTTTAGAGATAGTAGTTACACATTGTAAGTAAATTGTTTTTTTATAATAGAAAATATATTAAATTATACAATTTTAAATATTTGAATTAATATAGTCAAAAAGAAAAAAATATGACATAAAATATTTTTTCACTGATTTTTTATTATAATCACTAAATTATATTCAATAATGAATTTTTACTATTTTTATATATGTTTTTAAATTTTTTAATTATAAAAAGAGAATTACAAATTAATGTTTATTATTTTAAAAATTATATTTTAAATTTCCAATAATTCATTTCATTTCGTCTTTAAGTAAATTCGACTCACAATAATTTGTCACGTAAAATATTAAAAATATGATGTAAAAATTGAAATATATTTATTTAAATAATTAATTATAAAAATGAAAAATAGTGTTATTTTTCAATTAGTCTGTAAAAGTATTAAAGAAGCTAAAACTGCATATATATTTTTGAGTCTCAAAATAGATCGGTAACTCGATTCAGTGTAGCTACAATTTCTATGCAAATCGAGACTCTTCCCGAAAGACGATGGTCATATCTAGATCATACTTTTGGCAGTCTTCACGAAGTAGTATATTTTTAATAAAACGATTATATATATAAACGTCACTACTTAATTTTTAGTCTGTTTGCATCCCTTGACTTTCATAGATCGTGCGATCCGATTTGAATGCAAAGAAAGCGTGCAATATAAACAAATTTAAAGAAATTGTTTTGGCATCAATATTAATTGATTGTTAAATCAATCATGTCTCAAAAAAGCTTGGTATGTATTCATTAATAAAATTAATTATATTGATTTCATTTTTCTATAACTTTAAATTTTTTTTTAATTATTTGTAATTATATTTATTTTTTTTTTTGTGAATATATATATATATATTTTTTTTTAATTTATGATTCAACATGTATTTATTTCAATATGTATATATTTAGGCAAATTTTTATAAGTGCAAAATGATTATTGTTTCGTCATCAATAATTT